CTAAGTCCTTTAATGTTTCCCATTGCTCTTAGGATAAAGGTAAGCTCTTTAGCACAACCCACACGGCCCTTGGTGACTCATGAGGCCCCCGCACAGCCTGGCCCTGCCTGCCTCATCTCCCCAGTGCTCCCCAAGCCCCCTACTAACTCCTTGTGACCCAGACTTCTCCCAAGTCCCTGAACGAGCCGTGCTTCCTCCAGCCCTTGCCCGTGCTGCTTGCTTTCCCTGAAACGCTCTCCACCTCCCTGCCTCCACTCTGCCTAATTAGCTTCTCCTTCCCCACCAGAGGTCAGCTCCAACATCACCCGCTCAGGATCCCCACAGGAGCTCAGAGGATGCTCTGAGAGGCAAGGAAGCGTGGAGCCTAAAAGCAGGAAAGCACAGTGGTTAGGCCCCCAGACCCTAGAGTCAGACTGCCGGGGCTCCCAAACCTTGGACAGATGGCTCAACCTCTTCATGCCTCAGTCCAGTCTCCATATAATGGAAGTAATTAAAGTACCTACTTCATAGAATCGTTATGAGAACTAGTGAGTTAATATATGTACAGTGCTTAAAACAGTCCCCAGCATTAACTAAGCCCTCAATGGACATTAGCCATCTATATGTGACAGCCTGTCACACGCCCTCATGGAGCCATATAGGCACCTTCCTTTCCTAGCACTTTATCCTGGTTGTGTTATTATTATCTGATGATATGTATCTCCCTCGTGAGAACATAAGCTTTATAAAGACATGGACCAGATGTGGTTTGGCACCCTTTATATCTGCTATGCCCAGCCCAGAACCTGGCACAGGGGCGGGCGCTCAGTCTGTATCTGTTCCCTCGACTCACAGCTAGTCACAAGCAAAGCATATGCGTATACTCTCAGCCAGAGGTGGCCAGACTATGACTAGTGGGACAAATCCGGCCCGCCTACTGATTTTGTAAATAAAGTTTTATTGGAACACAACCACACTCATTTGTTTACATATTGTCCATGGCTGTTTTTGCCCTACAACAACAAAGTTGAGAAGTTGCAACAGAGAACATATGGCCAGCAAAGTCAAAAATATTTACTCTCTGTCCCTTTACAGAAAAAGTTTGCCAATGGCCACTTTAGGTATTTGTAATCTCCTTAAAGCCAAGCCCCATGGCTCCATGGGGTTGGTATGAGGTTTAAACAGGCTAATCCATGTAAGCTGCACTTAGAACAAGACCTGGCACAGGGGAGGGGCTCCATCAATGTTAACAGGTATTGTGAAGTGCCATATGCTTACTCACAGGAGACCAATAAATATCTGTTCATTGAATAAGTCAGCTATTTTCCTAGTGACAGATTTTAGCACCAAAACCACACCAGGCTCTGTGGGAAGTCAGGACAATCCACAGGGAAGTGTGTCTGGGCTGAAAAGGAAGGGACCTTATAATAATAAAAATTGCTGCCTTTCACTGTACACATTCTAGCATGAGACACGGTACAAATATTACTCAATTTAATCCTCATAACAGCGCTTCTCAAAGTTTCATGTGCATTCAGATCTTATTATGGGGATCTCATTAAAACGTAGATTCTGATTCAGTAGGTCCAGAAGAAACCTGAGAGTCTGCATTTCTAATGAGCTCCCCAGTGATGGTGATACTGCTGGTCCTCAGACTACACGACACTATGGCAAGGCTATATGACATTCCTATGAGCGGGACGTTATTATTACTATTCCCATGTTACAGGATGGGGAAACTGAGGCTCACAGAGGTTAAAAATCCTTGCCCAAGGGTCACACAGTAAGTGACAAAGCCAGGATTCAAATTCAGGTGTGTCTAACTCCAAAATGCCCATTCAGTCTTTGACATCACCCAGCCAGAAAGACCTCCTGCAAGAGACTTCACCAGTGTAGGAGTCCTCACTTGCTCTTAAGCCAGCTTCCTTCCCAGCCTGGATCTGGGCCCTGCAAAGTCCAGCCTCCCTACGCATGATGCTGTTTACTGGCTGTCCCCCGTCACTTTCTTTCTGGGCAAAGAGGCCCTTTCCAAGACAGGCTTGAGTTTGGGTTGGCTCTGCTGAGCGGAAGAAGCTTCTGTTTGCACTCCCCGCTGGTCACCATTATTTAGGGCACATCATAAGCTGTTTCGCTACCTTCCGAAGCAGTCTGTTTCCTTCACGTTGTCCTTTGCTGGCTGCAACACAGCACACCTCTCCCTCCTGCCTCCCTCTGTCTTGTCCACACAAGCTTTAATCCACCTCTCGTTGCACACACACGCATGCACGCACACACACGCATACACACAGACGCATGCATGCACACACACAGCATCCCAGCCCCCTCCGTGGCTGGTGCTCTCTCCCTCTGCTGGCAGGAAGGCTGAGTTGGGGCATCCGGGTTCCCACAGCAGGCAGGCCTGAACTGGAAACATCGGGTCCCTGCCACTGTGAGGCGTCTGCTCTGAGGCTGCAGGCTGGTCACAAATGCAGGCATCCTGCAGGCAGGAAGAGCCCACTTTCTTGGAGGGGGAAGCTGGAGCCCTTCCTCCCACTTCTCATCTGAGCAGCCGCTGCTGCCCCTCAGAAGTCACACTGTCCTCTCTTTCTTTCCTTGTCATCCCTCTTTCTAGCTGGCCAGAAAACAAATCCACATGGAGAGGGCAGAACTATCAGAAATCATCTAACAGACCACACCCCATTTCACGCATGGGAAAACCAGAGGGGGGGTTGGTACCTGCCTCAGCCACGCAGTAAGTGGGTGGCAGAGCTGCGACCCAAATCCAGCTTTCCAGACCCTATGGCCCTTCCCAGACTCCTTGGAAGCCACACATGGAGAGTACAGGTTCATTCAAAAATTGGGCTGGTCTGGATTTGAATCCCAGGTCACTAGCTGGTGGCCATTTACTTCACCTCTCAAAACCTCAGTTTTCTTTTCTGTAAATCAGGGCAAAAAACACACCCTGCAGAGCTGTCACTAGGATAAAATCATATACGTTAACTACCCACTCAAGACCCAACACAGAGTGGGTGCTTAACAAATGTTATCTCTCTTCTCCTGGGTCTTCAATAAGCTCCCACCTTCCCCACGTGCTTACAAAGATGAGAATTAAGGCACTTTTGGTCGTGCCTGTCTGCGTGCACACGTGTGTGGGCGCAGGTGTGTTTGGGCTGGGGGATCAGGTTGGGGGTACAGCATGGTGTCTTAGAAGTGACTTGCAGGGAAAGAACACCCCGCTCGGATCTAGGAAGGGAGCAGCCCTGTCCCTGCTCAGGAGGAACAGGGGTGCTGCGATTGTGGAGTGACCTAGCTGTCCACACCCGGATCCTCTGGCCCCTGCTTCCACATGCCCACCTGGATACAGAGCTCCCCACTCCTTCAAGTACCCCAAAATAATCCATTCAGCCAACTGCATTAGTGATCAGTGTAGACTTTACTGCAGATCCATGGGTGAACAGAGGAAGGGTTTTTATTTCACACATATCCTAGAAAACTGCCTAAAATCTTCTTAGAAAAATACCTAAAGTTTTATGTAGAAAAACTCTTCTTATATGCTCTTCTCAGCCATACTGCCACCCAAAGGGATGGGGACAGGGGACAGGAGGAGGCTCTACTCCATAACACACCTCCCCCAGCCCATCCCTGGGTTTGGCCAAAGGGCCCTGCAGCTAACTGGACTCAACTTCCTTAGCAGCCACCAAAGCATTTAAGCCACCAGAGCATTTAAAGAGGACGTCGGTTTCCCTCACTCTAGACTCCTGCCTGGCCCACAGCTCCTGGGATAGGGAGTCTGGCCTGAGATCACTCACTGCCTATTTGAATTTGGATAGAAAAAAATATTTTACTTCGCAGACACACTTTGTGGAGGACCCCCCAGCTCTGGGTCAGACACTGCTCCCCCCCACAAACACCCCCAGCCCCGCCACCCACTGCTCCCCCAGCACACACAGGAGCTGCTGGCCCTGCCCTCTCTGTTTCTGCCTTTCTGTTAAAATAGTCTTTTCTTCTCCTGTCCTGTTTGTCAATCCTCCTTCTCACCTTATTCTGAAGGCATTTTGCTGGGTTTTGTTTGTTGTTTTCACTTTCTCTTTTCATTGCAGTGTGCCTACTTCCTCCTCTTTCTGGGCCACTTCAGCACATCTATTCACTTAATGAGCTTCCATTGAGGGCCTACTGCATGCTTGGACAAAAAGAATAGAGAGGAGAAACTATTTTTTAAAAAAGCCACAGTCCCTGCCTCATGGGACCCATGACTTGTGGTGGAAGCATACATATGAACAAATATTTATTCTGCTAACTAGAATTTATTGAATGTCTGTTATATGCCCTAGAAACTTACCTAAGTGCATTACCTGAATCAAGTCATTTAACCCCCACAACAACCTAGAAGCAGGCACTATTACCATCCCTGTTTTACAGAAGAAGAAACTGAGGCACAGAGAGGCAGGATAACTTTCCCAAACTTACATGGCTAATAAATGCTAGAGCCAGATTCAAATCCAAGCCATGTGGTTCCACCTAACCACGATGCCTCTCAGTGTGCCCAAGTTCCCCAAAGTACAGAGGCGGAAGCTAATAAGTGCCTAAGGAAGTCAGGGAAGCTTCACAGAAGAGAGAACTTTGCCCTGGATTTTGATGTATGAATAGAAACTTGTTGAGTGAAAACAGGAAAGACATTTCAGAAAGAAAGTTCGATATGCCAAAAGTCAGTAGCATGAAATGAAATGTCATGGGAAGTTTGCTGTGGCTGGTCAAGAGAGAACCTGGGGACAAGGAGGCTGGAGGCAGGCAGAGGGCAAGTCACACAGGGCGCTGTGTGCCGGATGAGGTGCTGGAGTTTGGTCCTGCAGGTAGTGGGGAGCCCCTGAAGGGCCATGAGCTGGGCAGAGGCTTGCTTGTTCTCCCTGCCTAGTACTGCTAAGCAACCTGCACTCTGGGGCTGCGTCCATAAACTCCTAGGGGTTGCTCTCCCACCTCCCTCTGCATCCCTCAGTCTCACAGCCATGCTGTTCTCTCTCTCCCTTACCCTCCGTGACCCACAGGGGCCGTGAGGGCCTCAAGCATTTTCCCGATCCTGAGTGTGATTCTGCTTTTCATGGGTGGACTCTGCATAGCAGCCAGCGAGTTCTACAAGACTCGACACAACATCATCCTGAGTGCTGGCATCTTCTTCGTGTCTGCAGGTAATGGGCACTGAGCACGGCAGGCTGGGGTCCAGGCCCTCCAGTGGGGAGAAGCCTGAGGTTTGGGGACCCAGGGGTTAGGAGGGCCTGGCAGAGAGAGAAGGGGAGGAAGGAGAGGAATCTCCAGGCCTTGCACAGGTTGTGTTGCAGGGAAGGAGGGTTGTTGCACTATAGCAATGCCCAAGGCCCCCAAGGAGTCCTCTAAGAACATCCCCAGACCCCATCCCTTGCCCAGTGGCCCATCTTCCTCCCACCACTTGGAAAAGGGCCAAAATAGCAGGTCCTTCTCAGGTATGGGGCCTATCCCCACTTGCCTTCTCCCCTCCTGGTACAAGTAAAGCGATGAGGAGGCTGGAGAGGAGACAACCGAGGTGCCTCACCATTCCTGAACCCCCGCACGATGCCCAGCTCCTCCCTGGAGACCAAGGGAGGCCTTTCTCCTCACTATCCCACCCAGGCGGGAGCAGGTAGGCGCCCACGTCCAGATTTCTGAGCTGGGTTACATGATGAGTCACAGTTGCTTCAGATGCCAGAAAAAGAACCTGGGTCTGTAGCATGAGCCATTTCATAAGAATGTCCAACATCTGAGGAGCGCCTGCCATGTCCCAGATGCTAGGAGCGCTGACATGCGTTCACTCATTTCATCCCCCGCACGGCCCTACAGGAGGAAGGCCTGTCACTACCCCCACCTTACAAATCTGGAAACAGACTAAGGCTAACTTGCCAAAGTCTCCGAACCCAGGCAGCCTGGATCCAGGAGCCAGTCTTCCCTCCCTGCTACCCCAGCTTTGAGCTGTGCAGCCTTGAGCAAGTTACTTAACCTCTCTGTGCTTCTATTTCCTCATCTGCAAACGGCTTGTAAAGCCCTAAGCAGTGCAGGCAGGTAGTAAATACTCAGTACACATTATCAATGATTAGCATACTCCATAGGTTGCCGAATGCCTCTCTTTTCTCTCCCCTCTTCCCACCTCTGTTTCCATGGGCTCTCCCCTCTGTGGCTCCCTCCCAAAACAATGATAAATGCTAAGGCCAAGCTCGCCAATGTCCCTCTGTACCCCCCCACCTGTTCATCATGAAAACCCAGACCAGGGAAGGCCCCTCCAGCTGTCCCTGTCCTTTCGTCCTGCCCCCCCACCACCTTCCTCCCGGGAAACTCACCCGCGTCCTCTCTCTGCCCCCGCCCTGCCCCGCAGGTCTGAGTAACATCATCGGCATCATCGTGTATATCTCTGCCAATGCCGGAGACCCGTCCAAGAGCGACTCCAAAAAGAACAGTTACTCCTACGGCTGGTCCTTCTACTTCGGGGCCCTGTCCTTCATCATCGCCGAGATGGTCGGGGTGCTGGCCGTGCACATGTTCATCGACCGCCACAAACAGCTGCGGGCCAGCGCCCGCGCCACGGACTACCTCCAGGCGTCCGCCATCACCCGCATCCCCAGCTACCGCTACCGCTACCAGCGGCGCAGCCGCTCCAGCTCGCGCTCCACGGAGCCCTCGCGCTCCAGGGACGCCTCCCCCGTGGGCATCAAGGGCTTCAACACCCTGCCGTCCACGGAGATCTCCATGTACACCCTCAGCAGGGACCCCCTGAAGGCCGCCCCCACGCCCACCGCCACCTACAACTCCGACAGGGATAACAGCTTCCTCCAAGTTCACAACTGTATCCAAAAGGACAACAAGGACTCTCTCCACTCCAACACAGCCAACCGCAGGACCACCCCCGTATGAAGACCGCGGGGGGCC